CCAGGCCCCGGTGAAGGTGACAGGGGGCTCCCTGCCCAGGCCTTGCCCCTCCTTCCTTTGGCCTCCAAGAGGCCAAATCATCTGGTAACACAGTCAACGCCCCTTCCTCTGGAAAACTGACCACCCCAGGATTCTCAAGGTCCAGGTTAAGCATCCATAGTCCCTGGGGTTCCTCCTGCCTCTACTCATTCTACACAACTCTTTGCAGAGTTGCCGCTGACTGGTGGCTGGACCTCAGGCTCCAGGGGACCAGCAATGGGGCAGTCTTCTTGCTCATCCCGCAGCTTCGGGTGGGGGAGGGACATGGAGGGGAGGAAGTACTTTAAATATTAATGAAAATGACCTAGACACCAGAAGTACATTTTCCATCCGAAGAGGCTACTCTATCCAAGCCATGAAACCTGGTCGCATTTCAGCCCCACCCCACACTGTCTAGGCTGCACCAATGACACCTTCCGGGCATCTCGAGACAAGGAATGGAGCGGACCAACAGGCAGGGAGGGAGGGGCCCGCGAGCAGCGCACTGAGCACCTTGACTTTCCTCTGGTCGGTGGCCATGGTCCCGTCCGTCACCAGGCCAGAGCCCAGCGAGTGCTCCAGGAAGCTGCCCAACTTCTCCGCATCGTGGCCTGCGTTGGAGCCTGAAGTCTCGATGAGGACGTAAAAGGGACTCTCTAGAAGTGAGCAAGGAAGGCAGAGTGAGCAGAGGCTCCGGCTGCCAGGGCGGGAATCAGGGCTGCTTGTGTGGAACGGCTGAAATAGCAACCACTCATCTTCTGTAGCCAAGGACACAGGCGGCCTGCGGAGCACACAGCTCTCTGGTTAAGCTGAGTTTCAGACGGTTTAAAAAGTCGTCTTTTGGCCAGGTGCAGTGGCTCAGGCCTGTAATCCCAGCACTTTGGAAGGCTGAGATGGGCAGATCACCTGAGGTCAGGAGTTCGAGACCAGCCTGGTCAACATGGTGAAACCCCATCTCTACTAAATATACAAAAGATAGCCAGGGTGGTGGCAGGCGCCTGTAGTCCCAGCTACTCGGGAGGCTGAGGCAAGAGAATCGCTTGAACCTGGGAGGCGGAGGTTGCAGTGAGCTGAGATCACGCCCCTGCACTCCAGTCTGGGCGACAAAAGTGAAACTCCGTCTCAAAGAGAAACATCACTCCCTGGAAAGCACAAAGCAGTCCTGAGGGCCACTCCACCTGCTCTGGGCCTCCCACTGGCCTTGGGGCGGGCTTTCCACTCAGCAAATGCAAGGGTCGGGAGAAGCTGCTGCAGTGGGATGGGGCCCGTGATGGCCTCAGACACTGGGAGGCCACTTCCACCAGAGCATGCTCTTCACCATGAGGCTCTATTTTATGGACATTTGAAAATTCCAGGCCAGGTGAGGTGGCTCACACCTGTGATCACACCTGCTTGGGCCCAAGAGTTTGAGAGCTGCCTGGGCAACAGAATGAGACTCCGTCCCTACTAAAATAAAAAAAAAAAAAATTAAAACTTAGCTGAGCTTGGAGGCACGTGCCTATGATCACAGCTACCCAGGAGACTGAGGTGGGAAGATCACTTGATCCCAGAAGCTGGAGGCTACAATAAGCCATAATCCACTGCACGCCAGCCTGAGCCACAGAATGAGACCTTGTCTCCCAGAAACAAACAAACAGGCTGGGTGCAGCAGCTCAGGCCTATAATCCCAGTACTTTGGGAGGCCAAGCGGGGGTGGATCACCTGAGGTCAAGAGTTCGAGACCAGCCTGGCCGACATGGTAAAATGCCGTCTCAGCAAAAAATTTAAAAAAATTAGCTGGGCATGGTGGCACACGCCTGTAATCCCAGCTACTCTGGAGGCTGAGGCAGGAGAATTGCTTGAACTCAGGAGGCAGAGTTTGCAGTAAGCCGAGACTGCCCCACTGTACTCCAACCTGGGCAACAGCCAAACTCCATCCCCCACGGGAAAAAAATTATTGGCCTTTTTTCCATCATAAAAGTAAAACATGCTTACATAAAACAATATGGGAAAACAAACAAAAGTAGAAATGGAAAGTCCAAACGTGGCCACTGTTAATATTCAACTTAGTTCCTTCCCGTCCTTCTTGTAGGTGACCAGGAAATCTGTATAACTGCAAACATTACACAGGACCAGGCAGCCTATTCTTTGTCCTAAGCACGTTCCGAGTGGCTTTCTTACACACGAGCCCGACACCACTCCACACTCCGCCCGGGGACCCTCCACCGCCCAGGGCCTCTGAACCATCCCACATGTCCCGAGGTGCAGGAGGAGCTGCAGGAGCCGCTCCCCAGCGGCAGCAGCAGGGGGTCAGTACCTTGCACAGGGCTGGCCAGGTTGAGATGGCAGCCGACCAGCTGCATGCACTCAGCGTCCATGAACTCGAATGCGGACAGGATCTCGCCCAGCATCCCCTTGCAGGTGCTGAAGGTCTGTAGAACCTCAGTGAAGCCTGGGCAGCCTGAAATGGGTCACAGCACGTCAGGTGCTGCAAGGAGCCATGCCCAGCCTACCCATGTCCCCCCTTCAAAGCAGCAACGTCAACCCGACTCATGTGGGGAAAAACAGCTGGCAGCCTCAAGGAGTGCAAGAAACAGCCCAGGATTCAGCCGGCCGCGCACGCCAGGCGTCACCAGCAGCACCAGATCAGGTGGGGGAAGGCCGCAACACTCACAGGGTTCAGCCAGCCGCGCAGGCCAGGCGTCACCAGCAGCACCAGATCAGGTAGGGGAAGGCCGAGGCACTCACAGGGACATGTCTTTGGAATTGTGAACACAGGGCCAGCACCACCAGGCAGCCTTTGGGAGCGGCTGCGTTTCTCTTAACGCAATCAGCACTCAGGTCTTCCCTGCATGCAGGACCTCATCCAATACACGTTTTACAGACACCCTGAGCTCCCTGCAGTTATCCAGGGTTGAGGGCTACCAGTGAGGCCCTGCCCTAGGGGAGTCGACCCTCAAGGGCGAAGATGGAAAGGAACAGAGTGGAGGTTTCCACAGGTGGGCTGCCCGAGAGACCCTGCAGCAGGAGGGGGCCCATGCCCATCTTTCGGGGGAGACAGGGAGGCAATGTGAGGGCATGTGGATAACAGGAAGAATTTTCCAAAGAGGTCTCCTCTCACAGGCACAGAGGCTGGAGGCACACCCCTGCACTGCATGACACGGGAGCCAGCTGGGGTCCTGGAGAGCCGGACGGAGCCCACAAGCACTCAGGACACCAGGAACACCCGGGCCGTCCCCACAGGGGCCTGTTCCACACGGTTCACATGTGGGGGTGACACAAAGAGGCCAGTGACTTCTATCTGGGAGAAGGGGCCCCCACCCAGCAGTGATGGGCTAGGCCACCTATCACAGTACCCAGTGAAAACCACCAAAAATGCTGGGCCAAAAAACACCAAAGAAAAACACTGAAAAGGCCGGGCGTGGTGGCTCACATCTTGTAATCCCAGCACTTTGGGAAGCCAAGGTGGGCAGATCACTTGAGGTCAAGAGTTTGAGACCAGCCTGGCGAACATGGTGAAACCCTGTCTCAACTAAAACTACAAAAATTGGCCGGGCGTGGTATCAGGCGCCTGTAATTCCAGCTACTCAGGAGGCTGCGGCAGGACAATCTCTTGAACCAGAAGGCAGAGGTTTCTGGGAGGCAGGAGCTCACCACTGCATTCCAGCCTGGGCAATAACAGGGAGAGGCTAACTAAAGAAAAACACTGAAGAGCATCAAGAGCGAGGGAAGAGCCTGGCCTGACCAGCCGGCTGAGCAGCACCAAGCCCAGGCCGCGGCTGGCCAACAGCCCTTGCACCACCAGCAGGTTTGGCCTCAAGCTTCCCAGCTACCCAGGGTGAGGAATCCAGGAGACCCCCACGGGGCCACATCCTAGGTGTCAGGGCCAGAAGCAAGCTGCCCAACCAACTCACCCTGAAGACTGCAGGGGAAGTCGCTGAGCAGGACGAGGGAAAAGCAGAATGAGCCCGGTGCAGGCGCTCATGCCTGTAGCCCCAGCACTCTGGGAGGCTAAGGCAGGACTGTTTGAGCTTAAGAGTTCAAGACTAGCCTGGGCATCACAGCAAGACCCTATCTCTACAAAAAAAGTTTTTTTAAATTTAGTCAGGCATGGTGGTACACACCTCGTCCCGGCTACTTGGGAGGCTGGGGCAGGAGGATCCCTTGAGCACAGGGGTCAAGGCTGCAGAGAGACATGACTACACCACTGCACTCCAGCCTGGGTGACAGAGTGAGACCTTGTCTCAAAAAAATACGGAAGAATAACATAACAAAAACAAACTCCTGATAAACCATGGCCATGGATCAGCCCTATACTGACTTACAGCCTGGGAGGCTCAGAGAATTTCGTCCTGTGAACTTGGTCACTCCCAGGCGGCAGACTCAAAGCCACCTAGCAAAAGCAAAAGCAAAGCCTCTCCCGAGGAAGGTGCCTCAGCCTTGGCATCTAGGAGCCCAGACAAAGAACTCTTCGAATATCATGAGCTACACGCTGCCACAGACAGCCGCACACACAAGAGTAAGGGTCCAGGAGCATGAACCAGCAGAAACAGCAGGCACTAAAAACAGCCCACACAGGCTGGGAGCAGTGGCTCAGGCTCACACCTACAACCCCCACACTTTAGGAGGCCAAGGTGGGAAGATCGCTTGAGCCTAGGAGTTCAAGAGCAGCCTAGGCAACATAATGAGACCCTGTTTCTACACACAAATTGTTTTTCATTGTTTTACCTAGGCATGGTGGTGCGCACCTACGATCCCAGGTACTCAAGAGGATGGCTTGAGCCCAGGAGGTCAAGGCTGCAGTGAGCTATGATCAAGCCACTGCATTCCAGCTTGGGCAAGAGTGAGACCTTGTCTCTAAAAAAAAAAAAAAAAAAAAAAAAAAACTG